CTTTGTTTCAAATTAATCCTATACCTAATCACCTTAGTAGAATGCTTGATCTCGTCTATGTCACTGACCCTAGTAGCGCAGTTGTCTCTAGGTCTTCACCCCTGTCAGTGCCTGAAGATACTTACCACCCTACTTTAAAAATCTCTCTATCATTTTCAAATCACACCTTAATTCCTACACTTAATTCTAATAAAACAAGTCGTTGCTTTCACAAAGGAAATTTTTCTTTGCTTAATGAACTTATTTTAGCAACTAATTGGTCTTTTCTGTATAGTGCGGTTGATATCAACATAGCCGTTAAGTTTTTCTATGACACTATTAATGCTCTTTTTGATGTCTGTATCCCAAATTGTGTCATATCGTCTGCGTCATCAAAACCTCCGTGGTTTTCGCCAAGACTTTCAAACTTAAAAAATGTTAAATCTAGATGCTTTAAAAAGTATAAGCAATCGGGCCTATCTATTGACTTCTATAAATACTCTATAGCGAAATCCAATTTTGTTCTTCTTAACTCACGGTGTTATAATAATTACCTTGCCCGATGTAAGATACAATTTGCACAGGACCCTAAACAGTTCTATAAGTTCGTTAACTCTAAACGTAAAACTGCTTCGCTACCTTCATCATTTTTCCTTGGTGACAAGAAAGCCAGCAATGATTCTGAAGCTGCTGACTTGTTCGCCAACTTCTTCCAGTCAACTTATTCCTCTGTCTCTATTAGTAATACCTCTTATCCTTATAGCATTTCATCTTCCCACACTATTTACGCTCCCATAATTACTGATAGTTGTCTACTTTCTGCTATCAAATCCTTGAAGTCTTCGTACTCTCCTGGAGCAGACAACATTTCTAGTTGTGTACTCAAGGAATGTTCTAGTTCTCTTTTACAACCATTGCTTAAACTTTTTAATCTGTCGCTTAGTTCTTCAATCTTTCCATCTATTTGGAGAGAATCTTTTATAATTCCTTTATATAAAAAGGGTGGTAAGTCTGATATTTCGAATTACAGAGGTATTGCAAAGTTGTCCGCTATACCAAAATTATTTGAAAAAATAGTTTGCGGCACTTTGCAGCATCTCTGCAAATCTGTCATATCTCCTGCTCAACATGGTTTTATTAAGAGACGGTCTACTACGACCAATTTGCTGGAATTTACTTCTTTGGTAAATGAGGCATTTATTCTAAAAATGCAGACTGATGTCATTTACATTGACTTCAGTAAAGCATTTGACTCTGTTAACCATGACCTTCTGCTCTTTAAGCTTAGCCGCATAGGATTTCCTGCCGATTTGTTGCGTTGGATTTCGTCCTATTTAAAAAACAGGACCCAACGAATTTTGCTCAGGTCGCATATCTCTAAGCCCGTTTATGCATCATCAGGTGTGCCTCAAGGTATTCATCTTGGCCCTTTACTTTTTACATTATTTATTAATGACCTCCCCTCTATCTTGGCACACTCTTATATACTTATGTATGCTGATATGTGAAACTTATTCTATCTTACAAAAACCCTCTTCATTTTCAACGCCTGCAGGATGATCTGAACTGCATGCAATCTTGGTGCATAGTAAACCGCTTGTACCTCAATTGCTCTAAATGTAAGTTCATGACCTTTCATCGAACTTTGCCCCTCTTAGTCACATATACGATTGACAATGTGCCATTGCAGCGTATATCGACTGTTGAAGACCTTGGGGTTCTTTTTGATTCCAAATTGAACTTCAATCTTCACATTTCTAGCATTGTAAATAAAGCTAAGGGTGTACTTGGATTCATTAAACGATGGTCCAAGGAATTTACTGATCCTTATACTACCAAACTTCTGTACACGTCTCTAGTACGCCCTGTGCTTGAATACTGCTCTTGTGTCTGGTGTCCACAGTATAGAAAGTATCAGGAGCGTATTGAATCTGTTCAGAAGCAATTCTTGCTTTTTGCTTTACGCGGACTTAACTGGGATCCTAATGTTTTGATGCCATCGTATTCAAGTAGACTATTACTTATAAACCTTCCATCTTTAGAAAATCGTAGGACTGTTCTTGGAATAGTTTTTCTCCACAAGTTAGTTATCGGTGAGGTTGACTCCTCTGCCCTCTTAGGTCGCCTTAATTTTTCAGTTCCTTGTAGACCAAAAAGGAATTATTTGCCGTTCATATTGGCTAGATGCACAACCGATTACGCTTTGCACAATCGTTTTCGGGTCATTTGCAGTAATTATAATGATCTTTCACATTTACTTTCGACAGAACTCTCTCTCTGTTCTGTAAAGATTATTCTTTATAATTATCTTCGGGAAAATCTCTGACCACTTCTGCTGTGAGTCGGGGCATAGCTAGCCGGACTGGCATTTAAATTTTCCCCCACCGGGTTGGAGATTTACCTCTTTCTCTGTCTTTGTATCTCTCTTTCCCTCTTATTTTTTTTCTTTTTTCTCTTCCTCTTTCTACACCTTACTTTTTCTAATTAGTTCTTAAGTAGAATTAATTCTTCTCTTCTACTTGCTATTTGTTTAGTTTGTTAGGTCTATAATGTCTCTGACCACATTTGGCTGTGAATCGGGGCATAGCTGGCCAACTGGCAAATAAAATTCCCCCAACGTGTCGGAGGCATTAATAGACGTCATTGTATAGCTCTCCCTTAGGCTTTCTTATCTTTTAAGTTTAACTTATAATGTAATACTATTAATATCTTTATTTTACTTTCTAATATTATCAATTATTTATTGACAGTAAATTTGTTGATTTTTTTATAAATAAATAAATAAATAAATAAATGACAAGCCGAGTCGATATAGCCATGTCCGTCTGTCTGTCTGTATGAACGCAAGGATCTCCGAAAGTATAAGAGCTAGAATAACCAAACTCCATTCTCCTGAGACCGAGAAAGGACGAGTTTGTTCATTTTTTCTGATCCATCCCCGCACTCCCCCCCTATTACCGATTTTCTATAACTCCCGTAATTCTTGGAATTTTGAACTTGGTAGACACATCCAATTAGTAATTATATATCCGTATACCAAGTTTCATTTTGATAGAATGATCGGAAAGAAAGTTATAGCCATATAACCAGGCCCAATGCACACATACATACATATGTACAAGTACACAAACACGCATAAGGCACGATTCTGATGTAAATGTAAATGTATGTATGCATGCATGGAATATTTTATATTTAATTAGTTAATATTTAGTTAATTAATTAAATTAATTTATTTAATTAATTAAATTAAATTAATTAATTAATTTAATTACTTTTTTGTGGGGTGGTACAGGGTATTTAAGAGTTGAGCCTGCTCGACTTTAGCATTCCTTTCTTGTTTTTAAATAAAAAGTTTGTGTCATTAATGTTGTCCGATCGATTTCAAATTTTGTGTCCGTAATCAACATAATTATATCTACAAATTGGCATTCAACGATTTTCGAAATATAGAAATATGTTTTTTACTTGCCAGATGCAGCAACAATAAATAACAAAGAGCGCAAAATATCAAACAGTTGAGACAAACATGAAAATGCGATAGAAACAAAAAAACACGTCCATTATATAATTTAAAGTAAGGAATAAATACTGTAATATTTATTCCAGTTTTTTGCACAAAGTCTATCTTTAAACATTGTGTTATGTACATACATGTAATTTATTGTTGAAAAAATCAAGGGATTTGAAGCGCATAGCCAAAAAATAACAATGTTAATGTTAGCCACGTTTGCGTAAAATAAATTAATATTTTACGAAAAAGTAATATCATGTACATATGTATATCGGTCCTTGGAAATTGGACTACCATGTACACATGTATACAAGCATAAATTAAATATCGACATTCTCCTAATTATTCAATTTACAAAGAAAAAATTGTGTATTCATTCACCGTGCATACGGATTCGTGATTTTTTACAGTCAATTACGTGATCACGCTGTGACGGGCCGAAAAAAGCCGACACATGCCCATCTCTAGCATCTCAGCTGATTGCATATTTACAAGCGATTTACCGTTTGTGTTAAAAGGTTGCGTCAGCTTACAACGCTACAAATTTATTCTGAAGAATTCTGGGGGACATTAAGCGTTAAGCTTATTCCGTGAATGTATTCTTGCGATTTACAAAAGTAGAAACACACCTTTTACACTTACAACATTCATATTCAAAAAACACATATGGATAAGTGTTTAACTGTACATTTGAATACATACACTTATATGTATGCATATGTAGATACAGCATATGGGGATAGATAGAGCCTGCATTAAAAAAATAAATAAAATGTACATATCAGCGTTGCCAGACGTCCCGACTTATAAATCAAAATTAAATATCCCGCGCGGGACAGGCTCAAAAAGCTGTCAAAGTGTAGGTGAGCACCAACAAGTGGTTTTAGAGAATTATAAATCCGATTAACTTTAAACTTGGTTTATGTATTTACTCTGATATACATATGTATGTATGTATGTATATACACATGTGTGTATGCTCATTTAAATGTTGTGCAGTTGCATAAGTTGACCAAATAACGTTGCCAAATAGTACAGCTTTTAATTCTAGAAATTACTTGCTTTGATTTATCCCTATCATACTAAATAAATAAATATACATATGTATGTATGTATGCAAATATAACCATACATAGTATTTACTGTACTTTATGGCCTAGCTCTCGAATCCACCACACACAGTAATTTGCTATTTTGGAAATGAACTCTTTAGAAACTTTAGAGAGTGTCGGAAGAGAAATATCATACAGTAAATAAACGTGTAATTGTAAGCACAAATACTGAACCAGCAAAGACGGGCAAGGTCGGCTAGTGTATGTATATACTTATGTATGTATGTATATATACATATGTATATGTATATTCTTCATGTGGTCTGTCATGCCTTCATTTTCCACTTTGTACAAATCTAATATACCACTCCCTACTACCTTTTGGGTACATGGTATGATTAACAGAAAAGGTTCTATTAACAACATTTAATTTTATGCAAATCGTTATCCCGCAGGTGACTTAACCACATACGATACGATAAAGCACATGATTATGCACCGTCTCAACATGCCGGACTGTCACACGGTGCACGTGTTGGCATCGGTCTGTGCTGGCTTCGTAGCGGCAGTAATGGGCACACCAGCCGACGTTGTCAAAACCCGCATCATGAACCAACCCACCGACGATAATGGTCGGTAAGTATTGTCAGCAAGTGGAACATCTTAGGTATTATATGTGTTATATGTGTATTGCAGTGGTCTGCTATATCGCGGCTCCTTAGATTGTCTACGCCAAACCGTTGCCAAAGAGGGCTTTGGAGCCCTCTACAAGGGATTTTTGCCATGTTGGATACGAATGGCACCATGGTCGCTGACGTTTTGGCTTTCTTTCGAGCAGATACGTAAAATGATTGGCGCATCCGGATATTGAACGTGAATGTTTTGGAAAATTAAGTGCTATTATACGAGAAGACTCTAAATAGGCACACAACATACATACACACAATGGCACACCTAACATGCTCTACAGAAAGTATGCATGTACGGTTAAGTTTATATTTCTGCTGTTTATTTTTAGTTTATTTTTTAGAGAAGAATAAAAGCTAGTAGTTTTGTTAATGTTGGTGCATCAAAAATCAAAATAGATAATAAAAGTTGTTATATAAAATTAGAAAAACTATTTAGGGATTTAATGGAGTGGGTGGTTGGTTGCTGCAATCCATGCTTTCTAATGCCCTTTCATTCCCATTTCCATAATTCAAATAACATTTTTATTTAAGAAGTAACAAAATGTACTTACCCAGTGAAATATTAACTAGATAGCTGGTTGAATTATTAGGTTAATTTGGAAATGTACATAGTTTAAGGCGCCAGGTAATTTAACTCGAATTTCTTTCACTTTTATGCATATACACATACTGATTTTACTTTCGTTTTTATAATTAATGCCAGTTAGGAAATTAACGTATTTATATTTATATTTTTGTTGTGAAACTTTTTATGTATTGACAATCTTTTCGGTGTCCAAACCAGCGGCACGATAACAGGCGAGCAAAAGTAAACAGCAAATAAGCAAAAAAAAACAAAATTAAAAAAAAAAATTAAATGGAAAAATATTCAATACATATGTATGTACATACATACAAAAGTGAAGACATGTTTATGTACAGCTTCAAAAACATACATTTACATCATCGTGTCTATGCGTGTATGTATGTATGCAGTACAGAAATAAGTCGAAGCAGCAACAACAACAACTGCGGGCAGAGCTTCGGCAGAGAGTATATTTATGGCTATGACTTTCATCATAATTAACCTATTGTAATGAAATTTGGCAGACGAACTCATAGTCACTAACTAGAGGTATTTGCCAAATCTGAGTATAAAATTCCGGGAGTTATGGCAAAAATACGAATCGCGGGGGAGTGCTTCGAAAATATCTCAAACTCGTACTTTCTCGGTCTTAGGAGAAGATACCAAGTTTGGTTATTCTAGCTCTTATATGTACTTTCTGAGATCCTTGCGTTCATACGGACGGACATACATATCTAAATCGACTTGTCTAGTCTTACGGATCAATAATATACATATATACTTTATAGGGTCTGCTACGCTTCCTTCTGTGTTTTACATACATTCGCACAAAACTAGTAAACCCTTTTACCCTTTCGTCAGCAGTTAATTTGTCTTCGTGCTTATTTATGCCTACCTGGTATAACTTTATTTTTGAGAGTAACCAGCAAAATTTCACTTCTACCGCGTGTCGTCGTGACACATGCATTTTTTGTTCGGATACTCTACATACGCCCTTCTCGTTTATATATTTTACAGGTAATAAAGTTACATACAGCTGTTGACAACTAATTAACAACGACTAGAATTGAAGGGAGTTTTCGACTCTCATAATACTACAGTTGGTGTAACGGTACCTAATGACCAATTATCTCTTCTTTAACTATTCCTTGTCGCAGTTTTAATATGAACAGCAACGTTTAATTATTAATTTCGATTTTTAAGTTGAGTTGTATGATTTTGCCGTGCCAGCTAATTAACGATTTCAAAAAAGGTTAAAATTTTTGCATTTTCGGTATATTTTTATACAAATCAAGTAAGATTTTGTAGATTATGGTTCTGAGAACGCATTTTAATCAAATTTGGTCAATAGAAAATATATTCAATCATGGGAAAAGGTAACAGATGTACCCCGGCCATGCGTAAGGCAATTGTTGAGCTTTAGGACATTGGTAAGCATTTGCAAAAGTATGACACAACAGAAAATATTCCACGCAAAACATCGGAGCACAAGGATAGCGAGGTTGTTCGAATGGGTAATTTGGACCCTTGTAGGGGATCTGTAGACATCCAGCTTGAATTTTGGTATCAAAATGATGCAACAATATCTTAAGATGCGGTCGCTGGTCGTTTGGTTGAGGCTAGGGTCCATCGGCGAAACTTACGCATCACGCAAATGGTGACAATTGCGCAAAGACGACGACGCTGGAACCCATGTTGATTGAATTTTTAACAAATGAAAATATTTAGTCCGAACTGATGAAATAATTATTAACCGACTTGGTCTTGATGGTAGAAAATATATGCGAAGCAAAAAAGTAGTAAATCTTAATCCAAAGTGTGTGCAACTGTCGTCAAGTAGGGTCGAGGCAAAATAAATATTTCAGAGTAGGCGAGTCCAACAAAAAAATTTTTGGACTCAAGTTTTGTTAGAGTTATTGAATGACCATCGTACAGGCGTGATCGAAATCACATTGAATATTTATGGGACGACGTTAAAAAAGTGGTCGCCCAACATAATGTGGCAAATTTGGACGTCATTCAAAAAAATTAAGGATGCATGGTATGGAATACCAGTGGAAAGATGCCGGCGCTTTATAATGTCCATGCAACTCCGATGTACAGCTGTATTAAAGCACAAAGGCTTTCCCATCAAATATTAAGGTTGTAAAATCTAAAACTATAATTTTATTGAATTTTTCCTTAAGTTTTCATATTTTCTTTGTACTAATCAAGTAAACGTTTTTAATTAGTTGTCTCGGTCAAATCCGAGGTATGGGATGGAAATCGCTCACAAAAAATATTTGAGTTAGAAATTTGAACTCAACTGTGGTTTTTTTTAAAGTTCATAGGTCTCACATATAGATTATGTGTACATTTTATGGATCACTTAAAAAAAAAAAATGGAGAAAAATGATGAAATCCTCCATCGTTGTTAATTAGTTGTCAACAGCTGTATATAGTAACTACTCAAAAATTACAAATTTACTTGTTATGAGGAATTTTGATTTCTTTATTGGTGCACGTTAAGCTATATGTAAGTTATAATAATATTAACAAAAGAGAACGTTACAGTCCGCAGCAAGTCCGACAGTGAAATACCATTTGCCCCGACAAACTTTTGGCACTGAGTTATATACTTGTATATGCGTCCATAGTAGAAGCAAAAAGAATAGCGAACTTGATTCAGCTTGCGCGCGTTGTATTGGAGTTCATGATCTGCTTTCAAAACTAAAAAGCCTATGCGAAAATGTTAAGCCCGATAGCTTTAATACTCCGATTTTTTTGCAATTTTGAATCGTTTCGTCATGAGCACTTCCCTCTGGGTGTTATAAATTTACACACCTTTTTGCTTTTCAGTTATCGTCGTTGGTAAATGAGAAAACAGTCCCTTATATAAAAGGTTTCGACAGGGGTGCGAGTTTCACAAATTTGAAAAAAAAAATAATGTTAGAGGTATAGAAAATACGTTTATAGTTTTTCTGTGTTTATATAGTTTTTACATTTAAAGTTTTTGGTGTCGAAATCTAAATTAAAATTTTTTTCACACATTTTATACACATAAATTTACCACTCACCAATGGCACATATGTAGATGCATGTGCACTTATGTATTAAGAAATACATATGTAAATATCTAAAACAATGTTCACTTATAATGAAACATTAGTGGAAAAATAGATAGTACAAGCACCCGTCTGTTACTGAAACATAACATCGAATATGTATGTACACTTGTATATTGTGAAAAAGTTAGCAAGTCAAAACAATGATTTGTTATAGTGCGTATGGAGATACGCTGAACATGCTACTGTTAATTTAGCTTTGGTTTCGGTTAACACGCGCTTCACTATTTATAATACATACATACATAGACATGAAAGAGGCTGACTAGATACCGGACAACAGTTTAATTGAGCTATTCTAAGCCTAACAACCAATTGATCCCATGTACTATGAAAAAAATGCAAGGTTGCCAAGCAACAAGCCAGCGAATCCAGTCCAGCAGGCGGCCATAGAGTACGTGCGGTCTTTCCCACCTGTCAAAAAATGCTCACTTGACTTTTATGGCTGTTAAAGGCAAATCGACTTACGGATTTCGAAACATTTTCTGCAGATCGACCTTCTCCTTGCAGTATGGACACGTCTGCTTCTTGCCCACAATACACCAACCACGTATGCAGAACTCATGAAACACATGATTACAGGACAGCTTGTATGTGTTTTCAATGACGCTCTCCTCTTTTTCGGAAACCAACAGTTTATTACCGCAGACAGCGCACACATTGTGATCCAGGTGCCGCGTGGGAATGCCTTGAGGGGTGTAATACTAAAGTGACACACTCGTTACATTAAGTCGTGGTAATAAGATCATGTACAGTAGAATGCATATGTTTTTATGTGCACTACTTACGCCAATAGCAGCTGCCATCTTATCCGAGCATATTTCAGAAATATCACGGCCAAGTACTCCTATATAGAGACCGTAGAAACAGAACATTAGGCCCACATCCATCCAGGTATTTGGTGGCTGTGCGAATATGTAGTTCATACCCAACAAGGCAGCCATGATGAGCAAATAGCCAATAATACCAAGTCCATAGCTCAGCTTGTAGATAAAGTAAAACCATTTGTAGACGAGCCTGCGACGAGTGTTTAAGTTAGTTACGGAAATCTTATTTGGGTGGGTAAATTACCTTGGTGTGGTACCTTGTATAGGTTTGCTCATGGCTCGGCGCATAACACATGCAGTTATGCATGTAAATATTATCCAAATAACAATAAACCGTACCCAGCCAAAGGAACAGGAAATTATGAATGGTATGAACCACATTGCAAGTAGCGTTAAAAATGCATAGGAGCTGTAATGGCGCTTTTTCCATTCCACAAGTATTATTTGTGCAATGACAAGCGTAACAAACAGAATAATGACCATTTCCGAGTGCATGGCTTCGTGTCCCTTGTGTTTTTCTACCATCAGCTGATGCTCAGCACTGCGTATGAGGTCAGGATAAATATTGGCGCCCCGCCATTCAAACATTATATTTACTTACCGCATTCGTTCTTCTGGCGTCATTTCGTCCAGGGACTACAAGGTCAAAAAAAAATTGTAATCGCGTTTTAACTACAGCAGGCCATCCATATTCGAATTCGTTTTTCGAACCAATGGCCTGCTTAAGACTGTACAATTTGTTTGAGAAAAATTATAACTATCTACATACCTTATTTAAGTCGACTGGCGCATGCAAGTCCATGTGCTGATGCATATTGCTGGGGGCCGGTTTGCTGTACACCACCAAACGTCTTCTACGCTTTTGCGGAATTTTGCCGACTCTTTATAATCTATTGTTTATCTAGTGTCTTTCTACTAAAAAATAATAAATATTTGAGGCCTATTTTACATATTGTTTGCAATTGTATGCGTGTCCGCTTGGCACTGACGCTTTAGAGTTGCCACATTTTATGAAAACCAATGGCTGAAATGAATATACATATGCATGTATATGCCTATATAGTTTAGTAATTAACAACAATGGTATAGAATGTATTTAAAAATCCAAATGGACTTTTATTAATACATCGGATTTAGTAAACATATAAGCATATATTTTTTTATTTACAGCTCTGCTGTTTAGCGAAAATACGTGCTTAGGATGTAAGCTCTGGTGAGGGACTTTTAACATGATATGTATATGCATGTGTATAAAACGAATTATTTAAAAGTTGTCCAAGGCTCCGAAATTTCGGACCCCCTTGAAAATCTCTGGCCCGGGCGAATTCATCCCCTATCCATCAACCTCGATGATCGTATCACAAAGAAACGTATTTATCGGACGCTGGCAATTTAGCTCAAGTTCGACGTTTGCTAACACTGGTATAAATGGTTTAATAGTTTGCGGACTTTCACTCCTATTTGGCTTGTTCGTTAAAATAGCCATAACCACATGTAAACATGTAACAAAGTTAGTCAAAGTTCTAAGCACTGAGCCGCTAAGCAACATGCAGACTGACCATTGGGGTGACCTGCCCATGGACGAAGAAAGTGGCGCGCTTACGCCAGATAAATATGTGCCAACGTCCGTCAAGAAATTGAAGCTGGACGAAATACAGCGCGCTGCGCAACTGCCATATGAAAGAAGGTACGGGTCTTAACATATATTATAACGCTATTTCTAATGGCTTTTAATTTATCACATTAGCTTCAAAATTCAGTTGAAAAGCTCGCTGATTACACAAACAATTGAGGTGATGAAACAAACGGAGGTGCTTCAGTCACTCATCGATACTTATTCGAATAAAAATGTAAGTTAAGTCCGTATTTCTGTCATGAATTACAGGCTCATATATATTTCCTCCAAGGGTACGTCGAATTATCTCCTGAACCCTTGCCAAATGATACCGGAAGTTGATTTTCCACCAGAAAATGCCGCGGATTTAGTCGGTGAGCAAAAATTTCAGAAGCCTATTTGGTTTATACCCAGTGTGGATACGGCATACTCACGGGGCGAGCCACAATCCTATCCCGAAGTTTCCAGCAATGTTTGCAGGTTCGCCTTGTACAAAGTAATGTGTGGCTTGTTGCGTTTGGCTGGCTTCACAGACTGCTCAGAATCAGCCATTATGCTGTTGACAGATGCTGCCGAGGAATTTCTGCGTAGCTTTACTTCTGTGTATCGTGGTTTCTATGATGTGGATTTAAAATTACAAGCGTCTACAGTGCTGCATCTCCTACCGCTCGAACAGGCCTATACTGCACTGACTGGCACTTCACTAACCCAGGTGCACAACTACTATAAGCATAAAGTGATAGCGCGCAATCGCGCCGAAATCGCCGAATTCAATAGTGTGCTTCAGGATTACGACAAGCTTATGAAAGAGAGCCAAAGTAGTATGCAAAAGCACCAGGAGTTTAACGGCAACGGCAATGATTTTCTAAATATACTCGAAATGCAACCCAGCGACGATGGGAGCAGAAGTGGAGTTGGCAATGGCGGCGGCATTGGGCACATTGTAGGCGATATGCTAAAAGATTTGGGCGGAAGCAATGCAACAATGACAATGGGAAATATGGTTGGTCAACAGCAAATGTTGGGCAGCAGTACCTTGTACGGACTTCTCGATGGCCAAAACCAAGTTTCAACCACACCAAGTTTGCAAGGCACAAGTGGGTATCAGGCAAACTTCGAGTAAAACTATATAACTACATAAATATTATTGTTAAATAGATATGTCATATTTCGTTTTATTTAACCAGCCTATACCGTATCTTCGCCTCGGTCCACGCGTTTCTGCGACGTAGCGCTGTAAATTCATTGAGTGGTTCCTTGGCATGCAGCTTGTGTCCCAGCGGATCGCTTGCAACGTATTCAAATAGTTTATTCTGACGAGTCGGACGCTTGGCCCAGCAGAGCATATCCCTACCTTCGAGTATCGCATCTCCGCTGACAGCCACCGACGCCAATGGTAGCTCTGTGTCAGAGGCTGTCAAAAACTCTCCTTTAAGTAGGCGTTTTTTTATAGTGATCTTTTTTTGCAGTTCCTGTGGGGTTATCTCAACCGTATTGGTATTAATGAAACAGTCGGCATTTGAAAGTAGCTTGAGTTCGCTTGTAAGTGGAAAAGTCGTGGCCCTCTTTTCTAGTTGCCCGACTGGCGATTTAGGGAGACAAAATTCCACTTGGTGCTGTATAACGGCGCTCAATTTGTGCCAGATATGTGTCTGCATTTGCTCACTGATTTGTAAATCATTGGTAGTCGCGTCATTTCCGTCATCATCATCTAAGTAACGTTCGCTTTTCAGGGGCACTTGCTTTTTGGCAGCCATCGGCAACTCCTTAATATGTGTTTTAGGAGTCTGGTACATAGCATTTGTAAGTAAAGTGTGGTCGGCGGCCTCCAGAAATTGTTGCACCAGGATGTTATCCTCGTCGCCATCCGAATCTTTTTTGGTTTTCATAGTGGTTTTTTGTTGCTTTGACCAATACATACGTTTCATCCGATGTACATATGTATGTCACATGTTTCACATTTACCAGTAGCTGATTATTTTGCGCAGGTCCGTGCACTGTACTCTCGGACTTGACGTTAAAAAAAGCTGTTCATACGGCCTCTACATAAAAGCGAGTGCGCAATATGTGCTCTGTCCCTCAAACTGTGGTCATTCCACTTTTTTTCTCTTCTCATGTCCAAAATGGCGCTCACCACGCAAGGGTGGTACTGTGTAATCAAGTGGCAGCATTGCATATGAAGCCTGAAATTTAAAATCAAAGTCCTAATTTTCCAACTACCTTAGTTTGAATTATACTTCCTAATAACAAGCGCTAAATTTAAAATGTATTCTAGAGAGAATAATGGCAAGTCCAGCATTCTCTTCAGCGTTGGCAATGGCCATCAGTGTTGCCAAATCAGATAGATAGATTTGGATAGATTTGTCCATTTAAAAATAGTTTTTTCCGAAAAAAGTATTAAACATCCCTTATCTGGAAATCTATCTTTATTATTTGTGGGTATATTTGGGATTTTTTTAAATTTTAAATTTGTGTAAGTTTGATCTAATTTAAACAATTTGGCATCGCTTTTATACATAGATACTGATATCGAATTCAACATAATTGATGTGAGCTATCGGTTAATTGTACCAATCACAAATGGTATCGAGCTAATTTTTGAAAGCAGTCTTAAACACACTAGCAGGTCTTACCTGCCTTCCCTGGGTTTAGTGTTTTGATGAAAATTATACATACATATGTATATTTATTTACTAACATTATGCTAATTTTGAGAAATCTTTCTATAGGAGGTTTTAAATTGAAAATTACTTCGGAACGTGTCGTAAGCTAGGGCATATGTATAATATGTAAATATGTTCATACGCACAAATACATATGTATGTATGTGCGTATGAACAAGTATGTTCGACCACCCTTGCTGAAAATTCAATCAAATCAGATCTTTGCTTGGCTGCAAACGAGCTTGAACGAGTTGAGTACTCTCAGCATTTTTCTTTGCTTTCAAACAGTTCAGGCTCGGGTCACTTCGTTTAAGATGACTGGGTCCTGATCGAAGCAAACCAGACTTTGCAGAATGAGCGATTGATCGAACGAGTTAGTGCCGTTATTGGTCGAGTATTGTTTGGGTAATGCGCGAGCTATACTCGGGTATTACTCGAGTATAGCGCAGGTATTACCCGAGTATGACCGTATAAAATATGCATGTATGTACATATGTACATATTTATGTACTTGTGCGTGCATGTGTTGTTTACAATTATGCGCAAACATGTGTATATGTATGTACGTATTTTAAATAAAGAGGTACAGAATGAAAATAAAACATATATGTATATACATATATTTATTTTTATATTATGATACTTAGCATTTATTAATCCTCGCGCGGAAGTGCTCGAGGTTGGGCTATTTTATATTTGTAAAAATGTATTGTTAAGGTGCTAATATGAATGCACGGCTTCAATGCTTTGATTAAACAGAAAAAAAAAATATTTAGCATGATTTTATTTCTTAAAAAAGGAACTCAAATATCTTAAAAAAAGCAAATTAATATACATAAATTAAAATGGCATAACTTTTTTTAATTTAAATAAAAAGGAAGGTATTTCTGTTCGCTAATAGTTTTTATATGCATTTACATACTTCTATACGAAGTTACTATTGAACTAATAGCCGAAAAAACAATAGAAAATGCAAGTGCACGTGCACCCGCCGATATCATTGGTCATTTCGGTCATGCGGGTATGATTGTAAGTAAGACGTTCGATCATTTCTTGCACGCAGGCATAAAGTTTCGGTCACCGCCGCTCATTCTGAGTCTTTGCAGTTGTGAGTCGAACTGACTGGTTGACGAGCGTTCGTTCACAACCGGTCATTGCTTGCATTCATGCAAGAAGTTTCGGTCACAAACGCTCACTTCTGAGTTTTTACAGTTGTGAGTCGAACTGACTGGTTGGTGAGGGTTCGTTTAAATACCAATCATTGCTTGCATTCATGCAAGAAGTTTCGGGCACAACCGCTCACTTCTGAGTTTTTCCAGTTTTGATTCGAACTGAGTGTTCGTTGAGAGCTCGTTCGCAACCAGTCATTGCTTGTCACTATATCCAAATGAAATAATCATACCGAGTATGACCGAAAATGTAGTACTCGTTGCACTTCTCTGATATGTACATAACATTACTTTTTCGTAATATATTAATTTATTTTTTGCAAATGTGGCTAACATTAACATTGTTATTTTTTGGATATGCGCTCCAAATCCCTTGCTTTTTCTAACAATAAAATACATGCATATACTTATGTACACTGCGCGTCATCAGGTTAGCACTCCTAGATCAGAAAAATATACATAATTGCTTCTGATTTTGTTGTTGTTAACTTTATGCAACTTTTTTGCTTTCTATTTTTCTCACTATCACTGACAAAGAGAAATTGTGATAGTATATACCGTTATATGGTTTGTACTATTTTCTTTTCTTTTCAATTCAAAAGGGTGCTTCATTTTTGCGTCATCAGGTTAGGACATGCAATTAGTTTTTCATTTATCTTCGGAGTTCAATACCTGTTGTATTGCACCGAAATTTTGTTACTGCTCAAGGGATTTATTTCTTTAATATGGGTAGTGTTCATACGGACTGACAGAAGGACATACAGGGCTAGATCGACTCGTCTTGTCACGCTGATCAAGAATATATATACTTTGTGGGGTCTGCCACGCCTCCTTCTGCCTGTTACATTTTTCAGCTCCCGCAAACCTAATATACTTCTGTACATTTCATGTACAGAGTATAAATATGCTTAGTGCTTTCCCTGGATGTTTTCAATACGACAATGCTTCGATTCTTACTGCCCGGGTGATCAAATCTTGGACTGAAGTACAAAACGTCGATTTATTGAGGCGGCCGCCTTACTCACCGGACATCAATATAATGGAAAACGTGTGGGGATGGGGAAGGCATTAAAAGTGCTTGGTCAGCCATTTCTATAAGATATCTTGGAAAGTTGAACGAATTTTTTTAAAATTTGATATATGAGATCATTCTCAACAGAGAAGGATCGCCTCATTTTTAAAATGATAAAGAAATGTTTAAATTAGTTACTATATAAGTTTAAAAATAAGTTCTTATTAGAAACGGTCATAAAAATTAAAAACAAATTATGTGTGCTAACCTGATGACCAAATTTAAAATGTGCATTTTTCAGTTGACTTCGAAAAAAAAATCATAACAAAATTTAAAAATAATGACTGACTGACTGATTGGTCGCACAGCCCAAACGGTAAAAGCTAGGAAGCTGAAATTTGGACTCAAGTATCCTTTCATAGGCTGGCGATAAGGAGCGATTTTGGAAAATTCGAGCTCCAAAGGGGGGAAACAGGCTCCAAAGTTTAAAATCTAAAATAATCATCTGATCAACTTCAAACTTAGTTTGTGTACTCTTAGAAAAATTCCAAGAAAAACTACGATTTTTTGAGATTTTTCTTGGAGCCTGCAATATAGGAGTTTTCCTGTAAAAAAATGTTGGGGCACAAAAGAAAGCCGCGTCAACAGCCCACAGTCCAAAGGGTAAAATCTAGGAAGCTGAAATTTGGGCTCAAGTATCCTATTATAGTTTAGATGTGCACTTAGAAGGGATTTTTAAAAATCCGAGTTCCAAAGAGAAGAAAGCAACTCCAAAATTTTTTTGAGAAATCCACATTTTTCAACCGATCGACCTAAACATGGTTTCCAATATCAATAAAAGAATACAAATACATATTCGGTTTTTTTAAATTGGTCTTGGAGCTTGAATTATTGGGGTTTTTATATTTCTTCTTTTTTTATAGCCTGTACTCAAAGGGTAAAAGGCTATACAAGAGGCGTGGCAGACCACATAATATATATTATTGATCAGGATGACAGGCCAAGAATAACCAAACTTGGTATTCAGATTCTCCTAAGTCCGAGAAAGGACGCGTTTGTGTTTTTTTTTTTCTTTTCTGATACACCCCCACTCCCCCACAATTCATGTTTTCCATAACTCCCGAAATTCTTGAAATTTTTGATTCAAATTGGCAAATACCTCCAGTTTGTGATTATGCGTCCGTATGTTAAGTTTTATAATGATTGGTCAATTCTGAAGAAAGTTATAGCCATAAATAAAATCGCTGCCCATGGTCTGCCTGCAGCGCTGCCAGTAGCTGTTGTTGCTGCTTTGGTTCAACTTTGTGCTGCATACATACACGCATATAAACACGCAGAGACACGATTCTGATGTAAATGTATGCTGTTGAAACTGTATTTAATGAAATTAAATAATATAATAAAATAATATAATTTTTTTTTTAATTTTTAGTGGGAGGTACAGGGTATTTAAGAGTTGAGCCTGCTCGACTTTAGCATTCCTTTCTTGTTTTTAAATAAAAAGTTTGTGTCATTAATGTTGTCCGATCGATTTCAAATGTTGTGTCCGTAATCAACATAATTATATCTACAAATTGGCATTCAACGATTTTCGAAATATAGAAATATGTTTTTTACTTGCCAGATGCAGCAACAATAAATAACAAAGAGCGCAAAATATCAAACAGTTGAGACAAACATGAAAATGCGATAGAAACAAAAAAACACGTCCATTATATAATTTAAAGTAAGGAATAAATACTGTAATATTTATTCCAGTTTTTTGCACAAAGTCTATCTTTAAACATTGTGTTATGTACATACATGTAATTTATTGTTGAAAAAATCAAGGGATTTGAAGCGCATAGCCAAAAAATAACAATGTTAATGTTAGCCACGTTTGCGTAAAATAAATTAATATTTTACGAAAAAGTAATATCATGTACATATGTATATCGGTCCTTGGAAATTGGACTACCATGTACACATGTATACAAGCATAAATTAAATATCGACATTCTCCTAATTATTCAATTTACAAAGAAAAAATTGTGTATTCATTCACCGTGCATACGGATTCGTGATTTTTTACAGTCAATTACGTGATCACGCTGTGACGGGCCGAAAAAAGCCGACACATGCCCATCTCTAGCATCTCAGCTGATTGCATATTTACAAGCGATTTACCGTTTGTGTTAAAAGGTTGCGTCAGCTTACAACGCTACAAATGTATTCTGAAGAATTCTGGGGGAAATTAAGCGTTAAGCTTATTCCGTGAATGTATTCTTGCGATTTACAAAAGTAGAAACACACCTTTTACACTTACAACATTCATATTCAAAAAACACATATGGATAAGTGTTGAACTGTACAATTGAATACATACACTTATATGTATGCATATGTACATATATTCAGCATA